TAAAAAAAATATATAATTAGTTCTTATTGCTATGTGGGGTTTTAGCAGTGCTGGGTTTTAGTATTTGAGATATGTATTGTGCCTTAAACGGTGGGCTATAATCTTTATGGGCTTACCAATGTCAAGATATATAAAAAAATAAAAAAAAAAATATTATCCAAAAAAAATTAAAAAAATATTTATAAAACACACCTCAAACAAAACTTTAAAATGACCTTTATCAATAAAATAGCAGAGACATCATTATTAAGGTTACTCTCGAAACGGTGGGACCTATTTATTACGTTTATGTTGATTTTTGTGAGATAATTATACATGTGTCACAACATGAGTGGTGTGAAGTATTGCTGGAAGAATACTAAGGTTTTGTTTGGGCAGTGAGTTGATTTTTTGATTTTTTAATTTTTTTAGCTATTTTACTCTGGGACTAAAAAGTCTAGTTTGGAAAATTTTATTGGCTTTTTTAGCTTTTTTGTGAGAGAAAAAAGGTAATGATTATGAGTTAGATGTGATTTTTTGTCTTATTAAGTTAAGGGTAAATTACACTGACACCCTCTGAGGTTTATTTTATTACAATTTTCCCTCTCACCTTTTGAAAATTATATCTCCCTCCTGAGGTTTAAAGTTTCGTTACAGATTCTCCCTCGGCAATTTAATTTTTTTAAATACCAATTTTGCCCTCACTGGGTAAATTACATTGACACCCCTCACATTTTAGAAATTACAATCCCCTCCCTAAGATTTAAAACAATATTACTAATTGCCCCCTCGATTAGTATTAGTTGGAAAACAAATTAATTGAAAAAAAAATTAATTGGAAAAAAAATTAATTGAAAAAAAAAATTTATTTGAAAAAATTTTTTATTAGTAAATTTTTTAAATTTCTGTTTAAAAACCAATGTAAACTCATTTTTTGAATTTACTTTTTTTCCTCAAATTTACAAACTAAGACAACAATTTATAAATCAAAAACATTATCAAACAAGTTTTTATGATAGTTTTTAAAATTTTTGTAAACATAAATTAAAATTTGAAAACGAAATGGTTACCAAATAGGCCTCAGATGGTAAAAATGTCGTAAAATTAACAAATAATTAAATAAGTTACCAACATAAGAAATGACTTATCAAAAGATTTAATGGCTATGTATGGTTTGATTTTTAAAATTTTTTAAAAAAATTAAAAATTAATTTGGTTAAGAAATAAAAAATAAAAAATAATTATCATTTAAGGGTAAAAAATAATTATCATTTTAATTTTTGGATAGGTTATATACATACGTATGGTTGTTTCAATTTAATTTGTAAAAAATTATTTCTAATCACTTGAAAGATAAAAATTATATAAATAATTATCATTTTTACTTTTGGATAAGTTATATACATGCGTATGGTTGTTTCAATTTAATTTGTAAAAAATTATTTCCAACCACTCAAAAAATAAATATTATATAAAAATGATAATTATTTTTTATTTTTATTTCTTAACCAAATTAATTTTTAATTTAAAAAAAAAATAAAAATCAAACCATACATAGCCTAAGAATCTTTTGATAAGTCATTTTTTACGTTGGTAACTTATTAATTATTTGTTAATTTTACGACATTTTTATCATCTGAAGCCTGTTTGGTAACTATTTCGTTTTCAGTTTTTAATTTATATTTACAAAAATTTTAAAAATTGTCATAAAAACCTGTTTGATAATTTTTTTGGTTCATAAATGGTTGTCTCAGCTTGTAAATTTGAGGAAAAAAATGTAAATTCAAAATATGAGTTTACGTTGATTTTTAAATAGAAATTTAAAAATTTTACTAACAAAATTTTATTTCAATTATTTTTTTTTCAAATAATTTTTTTTCCAATTAATTTTTTTTTCAATGAATTTTTTTTTCCAATTAATATTGACCGAGGGAACAATTGATAATGCTACTTTAAACGTGAGGGGTGTCAATGTAATTTACCTAGTGAGGGCAAAATTGATACTTAAAAAAATTAAATTGCTGAAAGGGAGAATCTGTAATGAAATTTTAAATCTCAAGAAAGGAGATGTAATTTTCAAAATGTGAGGAGAGAATTATAATAAACATATACCTCAAGGAGTGTCAGTATAATTTACCCTTAAATTAAAAAGTCCATTTTATTTTTTTGTGACTAAAATAGTCAAAAAAACCTGGCTTCCCAAACGGATCTAAAATAACCTCACTGCATGCAATGAGACAATCACGATGATTAGATCTAAGGAACGGTGATATATATATCTAGAGCTGTAAATGAACCGAACTGTTCATAAACAAGTTTGGCTCTGCTCGTTAAGGGCTCGGCTCGGCTCGGCTCATTTAGTAAACGAGTCGAGCTCTAACTCGAATATTAGGCTCGTTTAGTAAACGAGTTAAGCTCGAGCTCGTATAAGCTCGGCTCGTTTATTTTTATTTAAATTATATAATATACAAATAATATTTTTTATTTAAAAAATATAAATAATATTAAAAATAAATTTATCAAGCTGAGCCGAGCCGAGATCGAATTCTATTAATGTTAACGAGCCAAGCCGAGCTCAAGCTTAATAAATGAGCTCGACAAGTAAACGAGCCGAGCTCGAGCTCAACAAAACTCGGCTTGGCTCGATTCGTTTGCAGCCCTAGTTGTGATATTGTGGTGGTACATTTTAAAAATAAAAAATATTTTTTACCTAAATAAAATCACTTTTCATTAAGGGATATTTAATCTAACATCCCTCTTCAATTTTTGATAATGGAAGAAATTTACAATATTTTTTTTGTAATTTAAGGTCCCATACCCACGCCCACACCATTGTTTAGGAACTCAGACTGGACCGGCCGGTGGGATCGGTTGGACTGGGAACCAGGCCTTGTTCCGGTTCGGAAAACCTTCTAAACCTGGATTAAGGGCAAAACCGATGTAAAATTGAAAAACCGGCAGACACGACGGTCGAACCAGCGACCCAAACTAGGTTTTGAGGGTCGGCCCGCTTGTTTGCTTTTTTTTTTTTTAAATTCTGTCTTTAACTTCTTCTTTTTTTCTTTCTTTCTTTATTTTATATATACATATATATATATATATATGTATTTCAAAATTTTGACTAAAAATTCTTACTTTAAGAGTCTTCTCTTATAAGGAGGAGTCTCATTGGAAGCTTGAGGAGATTATGAAAGTCTATTGCTATTATAGGAAAAAAATTTCAAAGAGAACCTCCAAAATTCTATGTGGGATTCAATCAAATTATTTGAATCATATTGATTGGAGGAAGAGTTGAAAATTTTATTTCCCTCCAAAATAAAATCTAGCATTCAATCAATTTGTTTGAAGGAATATTAAAAAAATTTAATTTCTTTAAAACAAGTGACTTTTTCTTATCAATTATGATTTTATTAAATATTATTAATAAATACTATGCAACAATTTTTATTTTTATTTGAGTATTTATATATATTTTTATTTATTTATAATTTATAATTATATTTTTTAATTATATAATATTAATTATGACGTAAATTTTTTACAAAAGACAAGTAAAAAAACAAAAGAAATAATTAATTTTTTAGTAGTGAATTTTTTATTAAATTAAGTACTCTCCAAACTTGTCTATATATAAATATACTTAAAAAATAAAATATTTATAATTTTTTTAAAACTAATAAATATAAAATATACTATTTTTGTATTTAGTAATTTTTGTTACAAATTTTCTTATTTTTAAATCTATCTATATTAATTGGGTTTAAAAATAAAATAAAATAAAATAAAATATTAATAAAGATACTAATTTCATATATAAGATTTACAATTTTTCAAAATTTTCATGTCTTAAGAATATAAGTCAACAAAATATTTTTACAGCAACATAAACTAATTGATAAAAAATATTAATTCACTATAAATGAGGAAATAAATATCAAAAGCTATTTAAAAACAAAATCATTCAATACAATAAAACATAACTAATTGTACAAGATTGGGCAAATCTTATATATAAATATACTTTTATGTGACTGATAACTATGCTAATATTTGGTAAAAATAATTTAAATGGATAATTGTTCTGTCAAAGTGAATTTGTTTTCCATATAGGGGTGTTTGGAAAGGGAATTGGCTTAAAACAGCTTAATAAAAAATGAAACAAATTAAAATAATTAATAAAATAAAATATCACATTTAAATTATAATTATTTTATTACAAACATTAAATCAATTATATAAAAAAAAAATCAACAAATTTTCTAAACACAACCATTTCAAGAGGCCAAAGTAACTAGGGTAAATTACTAATAGGTCCTAATAGTTAGACTTAATTTCCATCAAGACCTATTGAAAATAAATTTTGATAAAATTATCGTTAAAAATAATTTTTTTGTAATAATTTTTTTATATATGCCGCTAAAAATTGATAATTAGTGACTTTTCTTTTCATAATTTTTATAAATTATTACTAAAATTTATAATTAATAACTTTTTTTTATGACAAATTTTATTCATAAAACTTATTAGGCAACAAATCTATTTATTAGGATCTTCGCTTAAGTACCCGAATATCCAGCCAAAAAATTAACTTTTCAAACAAGGCGTGTATAACTGAAATCTCCAAAAACCCTACACCACAAGTCTGCTCGTTTTTGCGGCGGAGTGAGAAGCGCGCGAGTCTCTCTCTCTCTCTCCCCCTCTCCTCTGCTGCCTGACAATGGACGCAGTGGATTCAACGCGAGCCTTCCTTAAAGGCGTTAAGCGTGTCGTCGTCAAGGTCACCTACATTCTCTCCTCTACGTCTTCTCCGCAGTTTATTTCTCTTATGTTTCATGCATGGAATTCTAGTTTTTGATTTTGATTTGGTCTAAAAATGGTCGTGATTGATCTAATTCTTTCAATTTTCAGGGTTTTGTTTCTGGGTAAATCGATTTATTCGTTGAAGAACTTGGTTATAATTAGCAAAGACAATTTTGCCTTTTTTTTTTTGAGTTGTTGTTACATTAGAATTTATCTTCTTCCATTCGAAAGAACCAAGGCTGTGTTTGGGTGGATGATTTAATGAGAGAAATGGAAAGGGAAAGAAAATGTAATCTCTCTTTTTGTTTGGTTATAATTGAAAATAAGGGAAAAGAGAGTGACAGGAAAATGCAGTCCCACTTTTTGGTTTTTGATTCACTTGGCTCTTTTTTTTTTCCACTCATTTTCTCAACTCAACCAAACATAGCTTAGAATTCGAATCCCATCAATACTTTCTCCTTTTCTTTCTATTTTCCTTTCTCTTTCCATTTCCCTCCTCAAATCCTCCAATGAAACACAGCCTAATGAAATCCACACATTTTGTGAATAATAATTACGAAATTGGTCATATTGATAAGCAAGATCTGTCTGATTTGGAATGTAATTCAACTACTTGTAAGCTTGATTGGCCGGTGTAGTATGGAATCATAATCTTCTGGTTTATTGCATTTTTATGAATTTTCACAATGCACCCTTCTTCTCAGTGATAGTGAAGTTTTTATTTTTCTTGATAACTTGGTTACTGGCCCACTGGACCGACTAATCGGGGATCAATCCCACCTTCCACTAGCGGGGTACCAATTAAAGCCGGGGCAAATACCTGTATGGATTTGTCCCAAGAAATTGTTTGCACCGTGGAGTTTTTGAAACTGAGACCTTGGAGGGAGCACATCCCCAGGCTTTGACCACCATGGCCAATCCCTTGGGGTTTCAGTGATGATGAAATTATGCAGAAGGGTTTGAAATGTTCTCTGTCATGTAAGAAATGCATTTTGTTGGTAACCCTGATTATTGATATTTATTATGATATGAGTTAAGGAAACTTGATTTATTAATGGATTTTTCATCTGCAACATTTGGAAATTTTATCTCCACAAGAAGATTCAAATTTGAACCTTGACATGTTGAACTAATTTGGGAAGGAAAGTCCATGATTTTACATTTTGCTGATGTTACTCTTTGATTATTAAAGGTTGGGACTGCTGTTGTCACTCGAGCCGATGGAAGACTAGCACTTGGAAGAGTAGGAGCACTTTGTGAGCAGGTAAAGTTTCGACTATCATGCTGTATTAGCATGTATCTTTTACAATGTTGCTTACAAAATTAATTTAGCATGGCTTGAACTTTACAAATTCCTAATGAATTGCAGATTCAAGAATTGAACACTCAAGGATTTGAGGTTATTTTGGTGACATCAGGTGCTGTTGGCGCTGGTCGCCAACGTCTTAGATACCGGAGATTGATCAACAGCAGGTTATTGTGGTTTCTTTCTGCTTTTTGTATTTATTACGTTCTCTAGTGTGAGTTTAAGTTTTTCTTATATCCTGAATTATTCTCAGAAAATTTCAATAATAAATTTGACCTGTGGTTATTCATGACTGATTGAAAAATTTATGAGTTTTTAGTACAGATGTTAATCCTATCACCCATGCCTTTAACAGGGCTCTGTCTTTGTTCCAGAAAAATAAACCCTTTTAGGTCTGTTTTCTTATGGTAACCCGAGACACTGGCATGTCTGTTTAAATGTTTTATAAGGTATCTATGCTATTTTTTGCAACTATTGTGTTGACAATTCTAACATGCTTAAAAAGTTATACTCAAATCTGTTTGTAGAAATTTAGGTATTCATGAATTAGAGTACCAAAATATTTTTTTGATCAGTGAAATCTTCTTGAGAAAAACATCTAAAGCAGATGCTACCCGTCATGTTTCCCATGTACTGATCTAAAGCCCTTCTTTAAACTAATTAATTGGCTTATTGGTTGGTAGCTGTTCTGTTCTTGGCTTGCAGCTTTGCTGACCTCCAAAAACCACAAGTTGAGCTTGATGGGAAGGCATGTGCAGCTGTCGGACAAAATGGTCTCATGGCTCTATATGATACATTGTTTAGTCAGGTGATTCTCATAATTCAAGTTTACCTTTTTAATGCATCATTAGAGCTGCAAACGTGCAGAGCCGAATTTTGGGATGTTCAAGCTTGGTTCATGAAAGTTGGTTGAGCTTGAGCTCGAGCTGAGCTTAAAGAGTTGAGCTCAAGTTCGGCTTGTCATGTATTAGCGAAGCTCTAGTCAACTCTATCTCTATTATCAGTATCTTACGATTCGCAATTTGATTTACGATTTGATTCGCAACTTTTGCAAAATCGATATGAGTCTATGGATGAATCTCTTTTGGAAGTGAATCTCTACTGAATTGCAGAATTTACAATTGATTCATGATTCGATCCACTTTTTACGATTTGTACCATTCTTGAAACTATCGAGTCCGACATATTTTTTACTTTTCCTTTCTCTATGTTTTTATTAAAAATGACATAATACAACTTTTAATAGCGTTTAGTACTAAAATAACCAATATATATACAAGATTTGTTGTTATTTTAGTGATTGTAGAGTTTTAATTGGATCCAATCAGATTCAGTCATACCCAACATACTTTTAACCTTTATTCTTATTTTTTATTCCTTTAAATAATCATAATTTATCTTCTATATCTTCTAAAGATATTTAAGATTAATGTAACTTACACCATGAATTATCTATTACTATTTTATTAACTTAAATGTAGTTGCATATTGCATGGGTGAGGTTAGTTATACATTTTAAAATGTTTTAGACTTTAAAATAAAAGATCCTAAATAATGTTTTCTTAGTATTTTTTCATTGTTACTTGAAAAAAGTATGTATACTTATTATCCAAATATTAATATCGTTGTTAAATTATTGTTCCTTTGAAAATTGAGAGTGTCTTTGTGTACTGTCTTTATTAAGAATAGTTGATAAGACATGTCAAAAAAAGGAAAAAAATAAGATGGTAATCTTAGATAGGAACCTTTGTTAATTTCTTACCTATTAAACTACATGAGCATCATTCAAAACAACATTTTCATTAATTTATGTCTAAATATTTCATATTCAAAATATATATTTAACATTCAAGTATGTAGATATATTTTTTCAAGTAATTTAGAAAAAGTGACCGAATTTTTACGATTCGCAATTCGATTTGATCTACGATTTGGTATGAGGCCATTTTGATTCACGATTTGAATCCGATGCGACAACATAAAATAGCTGAGCTTGAAGTTGATAATAAAAATTAAACTGAAATTAATATGCATATTAAGAGAAAAAATTGATAATTATGAACCAAATATAAAAGAATGCTCATATTATTAATAAATTTCATTAATCAAATATATAAATTTGTAGAAACACCAAACATAAATAGAGAAATAAAAATATTGTTTATATAGCTTGTGTTCATGATCCTATTTGAGTCGAGCTTGGGTTTACTTGAGCTCAGCTTGATTAGTAAATGAGCCTAAACATTTGGCTTGAGCTTGTTCACTTGGTAAACAAGCTGAGTTTGTTCATGAAGGAGCTTGGTTCATTATAACCTGAATTATTCTTAGCTTTTTGACAATCTACAGGATCACCAGTCTGAAGCTAGACAAATTAGTCGTTGATTTCATATTTCATGCTTTGTACTGAAACTTAATACCTGCTCTTTTTGCACAGCTGGATGTCACATCTGCTCAGCTACTTGTCACTGATAATGATTTTAGGGATCCAGAGTTCAGGAAGCAACTTACTGAAACTGTAAAATCATTGCTAGCTTTGAAAGTGGTCCCAATTTTTAATGAAAACGATGCTGTTAGCACCAGGAAAGCTCCATATGAGGTATAGAACTATTTCTTATTTGCTTAGTACTCTAGTTTTGGTTCTATTCATGTATATGCATACATCTGCCTATCTGCACTGCTGTTCATCTGCTTGTTGCATTACTCTTTTTTGTCTTTGTTTTTGTTTTTGTTTTTTATTTTATTTATTTATTTATGAAGTTTCTGTTTCTGATTTATGCTTCTCGAGACCTTGAGTTATACTCTTCCTGGTAAAGTCCTGAAATTCATATTGTATTTTATAAAACTTGCTTTGTACTTGTAGGACTCCTCCGGTATATTCTGGGACAATGACAGTTTAGCAGCTCTACTAGCCTTGGAGCTAAAGGCTGACCTTCTTGTCCTTTTGAGTGATGTGGAGGGTCTGTATAGTGGCCCTCCTAGTGATCCAAATTCAAAGCTAATTCATACCTATGTTAAGGAAAGATATGAAGGGGCGATTACTTTTGGAGACAAATCCAGAGTGGGAAGAGGGGGCATGACTGCCAAAGTAAAAGCTGCTGTTTATGCAGCTTATGCTGGCATCCCTGTTGTTATAACCAGGTATTCTTATTCTGCAAGAATTATTTTTGGATAATGGAATGCGTCCTTCAAATATCCTTCTTTAAAAAAAATTAATTAGTTTGGTGTTAAATTGTATCTGTATTTGTCCAAATTATTAAGGGCAGGGCTAGCAATACTTCCCTTATTTATTTTGAGAGATGGGACTCACTTCTCCTTGCTGTGGTGTGTTCTTGTTAATTTTTAGATACTGATAGCAGTTACATGTTGATGAATTTCGAGTTCTGTACATGATAATTTAGTAATAATCCTGAATTGGATACATGTATACATGCATATATGTACGTGCATTTGCTTTCAAATGAACAATGATTGTTCAGTAATGTGGTTTGATACATATAGATACGGTTAAGACGAATATTAAATGGGTCATTTTCTGTCCTTAAATTAATTAGAAGCAAAGAATGGTAGGGTGATTAGGGGCAGTATTTTAACAAAAGTTAGAAGGACCAAAAAAGCTTGTGGTTTTGGCTGTAAAAAGTAAAGGTAATCAAAAACTACTTTAAGTGCGTTCGCTAGTACTTCCAATGAAGTCTAAGTGGAATTTCGAGGAGATATTCCACCTGCTGCCAGAGTCCTGACCTCCAACTAATTAGTGGAGAAGGATGTCAGTTAAAATCCCTTTCTTTGCCCCTCCAAATAACTGCCCTATCTTCCTTCTCAGTCTAGCTGAGTAAAGCTTTTTAAAAGTTCAATGCCACCTCAATCGACTCCAAAGATCCTGACATTGATACTCGCTTTTTTGTACTTGTGGCATATAAATTAGAATGTTAGCCTAAACAGAGCAATATCTTGTTGCACATTGTTTGTAAAATAGAATACTTGTGTCACCCTTTAAAGAAGCCACACCTTTCCTAGAACTTCTCAAAGCCATCCAAACTTCTTTCCGCACTCCACATTAAAGACCTCTCATATTCTCATAATGCCAACACGAACAAGGGCGTTTGTATTTCTACATCACGCTATTTCTCCAAGAATTCGTTGCACTTGGTTTTCAAGAAGAGCTTGATTCAATTTATGAGGGGACCTATCTTCCAAACATCTAGAGGTTCTGTTCCAAGGAGAATAAAAGTACTTCCCACTGGGCGAGAGACCTACCCACTCATCAATCAAGGTGTTTGACTTGCACTGACAGACCCATGGCGGGAGTGCGAAACTCAACCACTGAAATTGGTACCCGAAGGCTACACTATGTGGGTTCACAAAATACTGATGTGTTCAGGGTGGAACCAGAGTTTGAATATTTTCAATTGTTATTGGTTTAAAAAATACAGTACCTGTTAACTATTTATTTGAAATGAACTTTGAAACATGTTTAGAAAAATGTAAGATACTAAAAGAAATATTAGAGTTCCCAAAGTTATGCGTGTAGAAACTATAATAAAACTTAAATACTTTGTCAGTTTGGTTAGGGAGGAAATTATTTGGAAAGAGAGATTGATATGGAGAATAAGGAGAGATTCTTGGCTAAATTTTTGGAGTTCTAATGTTTAGATTGGAAAAAATATTCTATTTATCTCCATAACCCCCTTCACTTTGGCAATGGAAGTGTTTGCTATACTTTGTGACATATGCTGGCTTCTGCTTTTATTTTTTCTGAAGAACACTATGTTGTTTTTTTTTAATAATTTTTTTGAAGTGGCTGTGCTACTGATAATATCATAAAAGTACTTCAAGGAGAGCGTATTGGTACTCTCTTTCATCGAGATGCGCACCAGTGGGTCCCACTTGGAGAAGTTGGTGCACGTGATATGGCAGTTGCAGCAAGGGAGGGTTGCAGACGACTACAGGTAAAAAATCGCATTGCTCATGGTTGTTAAAATTTGATATCCCTGTATATATGAGTTGAAGCTCTCTTTGCCTGCAAAACTTATGTGTATGGATTTATATTCTTGTTTGGAAGCATGTCTTTTGTGAGGATTGTGATATGCTTTGCCCTGCAGGCCATGTCTCCACAAGACAGGAGTAAAATTTTGCTGAGCATAGCTGATGCCCTGGAAGAAAATGAAAAACTGATCACCATAGAAAATGAAGCTGATGTTGCTGCTGCACGGCTGGCTCGCTATGAACAATCATTGATAGCTCGGCTGGCTCTAAAGCCTGGAAAGGCAAGAATTTGGTCCATTTGTGTTTAGTTTTCCTTTCTTCTTTTAATTTTTATATAGATAGCAGGCCATATTATTTGAGCTAGGCAAGACTGTTGATTTATGGAAGTTTGGTTAGATTGGATTTCAATTTTTTTTTTACTTCATGATTATTTCCCAGCTATATTACCTTACAGAAGTGGCATTCCTTCTATAAAATGTTCTCACTGGGAAACCCTCTCTTTCTTTCTCCAAGCATTCATGTATTATTGTTTCTGAATTCAATCTTATGATATGTAGATTTCAAGTCTTGCAAACTCAATTCGTGTGCTTGCAAACATGGAAGAGCCAATTGGTTGTGTTTTGAAGAAAACTGAGGTACTGAAATGGAATTTTGAGGATTTAATTTATTCAGGCTTTGGGTATTTTGATAAGGGAAAGGTACAGACAGAACATTAATATGTTTAAAATGATTTAACTAGTAATATTTCGCTTTATCTACTCGAGGTATCTTTTGCTGCACAATCAAATTCTGACTTTTGCACCTTGAGCTAGAAATGAAGAAACTAGGTTAGCTTCTTTGAAAAGAATGTGAATGCACGCCTACATTTTTTATCAACACAACTGACCATATTATTTATTTATTTTTTTATTTATTTCCCCATTTCTGTAAAAGGTTATTACTTTTTGATCTTATATTCATGGCCTTTGATCATCATCATCATTGATCTCATGAACTGGTATTTTTTGACGAGTAACAACTACTTTTTTATCCAGATTGCAGAAGGATTCCTCTTAGAGAAGACATCATCTCCTTTGGGTGTTCTCCTGATTATTTTTGAGTCTCGTCCCGATGCACTAGTTCAGGTAAACAGGGCTTGCAAGTTTTTGGACAAGGTTTTGTTGAGCTGATATGGTTTTCTTGAGCTCTCTGCAAGCTACTTTTGATTACATTTATGTCTTTTCTTGTGATAATTTTTGTAAACATGGTTTGGCTGTGGTTTTCCTTCTCATAGTTGCCATCTGCACAAAAGTTGGCTTTCTTGCACAAAATTGGGCTTTTGTGCAGTGGGTATTTCAATTTTTTTATTTTTTTATTTTTTTATTTTTGTCCTTTTCTTTTCAATAGCATGCTTACATGGTATTGTTGGTGCATTGTATCTTTCATGTCTTCAGGTTTCCTGAGGCCATTTTTTTCCTTCCTTTTCTTACATTGGGACTTTTGCTAATAACTAGTTATATTTTACCCTGGGTGTGTGGTATCCATAGTTATCAACCACTTCTTGACGTCTAAGATTATGTCTCAATCAACTTGGTCTAGGCTTTTGTTAACTTTAAATGGAATGGAATGCTTGAGGATGGAAGAGTTGTTGATCGTTGAATGATTGAATCTTATGTGGATTTCTGTTATGCAAAAATAGATTATTCGTGTAGAATGCTGACATTCGTAATGCATCTCTCACTTACTATATATAGGTGTGTGTGTGTGCAGTAATGGGGTCTGCCACCCCATTCCGCCTCTTCTTCCTTTCCCCATAGGATAATTGGGCATATATTCTTGCGACTCCTCATTGCTTTGTTTTTTGTTTGACTAATTGCTTGACAAATTTGCACCGAACTGGAATTGTTTCCAATTATGTGCACAATTTATTTTTTGGCTTTTACCTTTCTTTCTCGAATAGTTTCATGATTCATAGACGCAAGTCAAATATTATTTTTTCATCCATCTCGTTGAGCAACATGCATGGACAAACATTTATTTGACCTTCAAAGTGCACTGTTTCATTGCTAATACAAACCCTGTATTTTTCTTTCTATTTGAACAGATAGCTTCATTAGCAATCCGATCTGGGAATGGGTTACTCTTGAAAGGGGGAAAGGAAGCTAAAAGATCTAACGCAATCTTGCACAAGGTTTGGTTTGTTAAATAAATTTTGTTAGTCTTGGATTGATTTGATGTCAAACATTGCATTTTCCATTGATTTGTTTTTTCATAATTTATTACTTTTTCCCCATATTTTTAGGTTATTACTTCCGCTATACCACAAAATGTTGGTGAAAGGCTCATTGGACTTGTGACTTCTAGAGAGGAGATTCCTGATTTGCTCAAGGTTGGTTGAACCTGGAATGATTGCCACTAACTTGAACATTTTGTTGCTGAGAATGATGATTGATACATTACACATAAATTGGAACTAAGGATTTTACATTTTTGCTCCAGCTTGATGATGTGATTGATCTTGTGATTCCTAGAGGCAGCAATAAACTTGTTTCTCAAATCAAGGAATCAACGAAAATTCCTGTTCTGGGTCATGCTGGTAGGATATATTTCCCTTACAAAACTACATATAGCATCTGCACTAAATGGTCGATTTCATATTAAAAATAGAACAAGGATGGTGTGGTAATGCTGATGTTTACTGTTCAGATGGAATTTGCCATGTTTACGTTGACAAGTCTGCTAATATGGATATGGCAAAGACCATTGTTTTGGATGCAAAAACAGATTATCCTGCTGCTTGTAATGCGATGGTAATTTATTTTTTATTTATTTTTCGTTGATAATGTCATGTCTGATGATACCTGAAAAAGGTCAGCTCTGGTGGAGAACTAAAACATTTAACTTCATGTTTCAAGAAATTTTTTCCTTGTATATGAGTATCACAGTCATTGCTGCTTGCCTTTCTTGTTCCTAGGAAACGCTTCTTGTTCACAAGGATTTGGTGCAGAAGGGTGGCCTTAATGAGCTTATTGTAGAGCTTCAAATTAAAGGTAAGGCTTCTTTTGCAAGCATATTTTCTTCTAAACCCCTAACCAATTGCCAAGAAAATTATAATATTTTTGTAACTTGTGATGCTGGTCATGCTATTGAATTTTGTAAGCTTCTTACCAGAATTGAGAGATTTAGTGACATGAAAGCCCTTTTATTTTCTTCAGTTGGTTTTTGCCCGTTGAGATATTTTATAGAAAACAGCAAATTGAATCTATTAAAGATTAGAGAATATACTGTTGCATCTTGTAGATGTATTGGTTGTTCCAACTTGACTTGAAAAAAAACCAATATTGTAATTCAGATTACCACCCAATTAAGTAATGTAAACAAGCTACTTTTCCACTCCACATTTTAGAAAGTGTCATACATTACTGTATTTGTGTTCTCAGCTTTATGTGATATTTTTATTATAGCATCCAATTCCACATTGTCTTTGTTGGAATGTGTGGAATTTTTTTTTTTAAGGATTGCATTTATAATGAAAGATACACTATACCAGTCGTTAGGCCCTGTTTGGAAAAAAATATAAATAAAAATTGCTGCTTAAGAAGAAGCTTACTTAAAAGAGCATCCCAAACCCACATAGCCTTTTGAGCTTATTTTTAGCTGAAAAAAGCAAATAAGTTGAATACCTGAAAAGTCTTACCAAACACTTTGCCAAAGTACAACGGCAAGAGCACACATTTTTGAAACTTATGCTAAAAGAGCTACAAATTTTTTTTTTTTGAATCTTGACTTGGTGGATGATGTAGAATATTTTATGTTCCTACAATAATTTATTATACTTATAAAAAAAAAATAATAATTATGTTCCTACATTGTTTATTCTTTTACCCCTTTTAGTTGCATATGCACTCTAGGTATGCACTCTAGGGTGTTCTGATATGTTTAATCAGCTTTAGGAAAAGTCTCTTTCTCCACCACCTTCTAATTTGACAATACAGCAGTAATACTCCAGAAAAATAAAGAAAATGCTGTGGTCTCATCTTATACAACCCTCCCTCTAGTTTTTGTCTGTCCATCCATTCTATGCGGTCAACTTCAACCTTGTTTGATCACTGAAGTAAACTTCAATTTTGAAGTTTGCTCTTTAGAACTCCAAAAAATTGACAAATGGAGTCCTGCCGTTGCTAAATGAAAAGACATCAACTGGGTCAAATGAAAAAGGCTCTCTGAGGCCTTTATACTATTTGGAAGAGCAATTGATTTCACAAGTGAGATTATATGCTCATGACTTTCTGCCCGAAAGAGGGCGAATTTGAGGGATATGATGAACTTGCCATAGGCAACATTCTCTTTGTTTCATAGGTATGGAAATGGAGAAACTATTTTTTGGGAATAAATTCTCTTTGTTCTACCCCTTTTAAGCTTTGTAAATTCTCCATTAAAAATCTCCAAATTTCATTACTTAGTTCCCTTGATTTCTTTTGATATTCAATATTAGCCATTTTATCAATGTTTTGTAGTTAGGATGTGCTTACTACTGTAGAATCAAGTAATCAGTGACCTTCAGAATGTAAAACAAAAGAAACAGAATCTGAAGAACAGCTCAGTAAGCTGCTTCTGTTGCAGGTGTTGCTATATATGGTGGACCAAGAGCAAGCTCCTTGCTGAATATTCCAGAGGCACGCTCATTTCATCATGAATACTGTTCACTTGCATGCACCGTTGAAATTGTTGATGATGTGTATGCCGCCATTGATCACATACATCGTCATGGAAGGCATGTTGACATTTCTAATCATTCCCTATCTAAATGTGTGATCTTTCATGGGCAAGGTGTAGTACTATTTAAAAGATGTATACAGGGGTTTATCGTTGTTTGCTCTTGTTGACAGTGCACACACTGATAGCATTATCACAGAAGACCATGAAGTTGCAGAAATCTTTCTACGTCAAGTTGACAGGTATGATTGCTACTAACATGTCTATTTTGTCTCTTGTTCTGAGGAATGCAGATGTGACATATTGCTGTTGGCCCAATTTGGTGGGACTTATAAGTCAATTTATTTAGTTTATTTGCTTAAAAAAAAGTTGACTAATGGGTGTTTGGTTACAGTTTTAGAGTATTAACTTGTTTGACTTTTTTAACTTATTTGGCAAAAAAAAAAAAGAAGTGACGGGTGTGTTTGGTTTGTGTTTTGAGATAAATTTTCAAAAAAAAATTTAGAGAGAGTTTAGAATTTTTTTTGATTTGTTTGGTTGTATATTTTGAAATTAGTTTTGGAGTTTGAGAGTTTGGAATGATTTGATATTTTGTTGTAATTGAATAGATGTGTGAGAGAAAAAGTGATTGAGAAGGAGAGACGAGAGAGAAAAAGTGATTGATTGATGTATAATAAAGAGGGAAGTAATTTTAGAATTTTTTTGAGAAAATTTGTAACCAAACATGTTTTTGAAAATTTTCTTCTAAAGACATGTTTCAAAACACAAACCAAACACACCCAACATTTCTTAAGCCACACGATTTATAGCATTTTTATCTTATTTGAAACCTTTAAATACGTATAGACAAAAGTACCCCATCTTTTTGTCTTTGTTATAACTTTCGAGAGCATTATAAATATTTACAAAACAAAAAAAAGAAGCTATGTGACAACTTACTTAACCTGTTTATGAAAAGCTGCACCAAACATATTTACAACTTATTTTAATTCTTTTAAGCTAATGATCCAAAAAAAAGAAAGTTTATTTGTAAATGATACCAGACGGGGTCATTATGATTTGTTTGATTCTTCTTGTATGCTATTTATTCTGAACTTATTAACAAGCTCAACGAATATAATCTGGCTGGTTATTTGCACTGGCAGTGCTGCTGTATTTCACAATGCAAGCACGAGATTTTCTGATGGCGCTCGTTTTGGACTAGGCGCAGAGGTCTTATTAGCTAGCTCTATTGATCATCACTTTGGATATGATTGAAGTTTTTTCTATTGTATTTATTGATTGTTCTTGGCTGAACAGGTCGGGATAAGTACAAGTCGGATACATGCTCGTGGTCCAGTAGGAGTTGAAGGATTGCTAACAACACGATGGTATGCTAATATTTTCTGTAATGAGTCTATGTTGGAAGTTATATATTTGTGTGGAGTTTTGATGAAATTTAAACGAAATTGACTAATCAAAAACACCTTAAATATTTCTTCTTCTTTTTTCTTTTAGGTTAATTACACAACCTCTACACTTGCACCAAAATTCCACTTTGATCCCTACACTTTTAGTTGTAACAGTCAATCCTTTTTATATTTTAGGTCAAGCGTCAATCTTGCCCTTCTGTCATATGATGCCAACGGAAATGTTTTTTAGTAGTTTTACGTCAAAACCATGATATAGTATAATATTTTTCTCTGTTAAATGCTTTTTAACAATGATATATGCACGGTAAATATCATGATTCGGTGAGGAACACCCAAAAAAACAAAAACAAAAAAAAACTGGTTAGCATGAAACTAGTAAAAAGTGCATTTCCGTTAGCCTTATTTAAATACTAAATGGATGGAAGGGGATGTCAAGTGTAAATTTTTGATTACTTGGAGAGAAACCACCTCATTGTGTTTTTCATATGTTGACCTTGTCTATTGCTGCTGTATTATTAAATTTAGGATCGGTAGAGGAAGCGGGCAAGTGGTTGATGGTGATAAAGGGGTGATCTATACTCACAAAGACCTCTCTCTTCATGCTTGAGTTCATGGAAATGCTTTGTCGAAACACAACCATCGGAGCTATTTTGTTGTTAAAGGTATTATCAGATGATCAGATAAAGTGAGCAAACTCGTCAGCAGGCCTTTTAAGTTGAAAAAGAGATCAAGAGAGTATATTATCTGTTTTTGCTCCATCAACAAATGTACCATTATGTGCAACAATTGTTATATTTGTTTTCTTAACTTAAATAATTTAAATTATTGCCAAATTTCCATGAATTCTAGGATGAATAACTTGTACCTCTATGAAAATAACTCAGAAATCAGACTTTGGAAGAGTTATTGGAGGGTGATACATACACTTTTGAACAGTTGAGTCATTTAATTGAATTTCAGGTTCATGTTCATGTGATTCTGATTGTCTTCCTCCATTAAGGAGTCTCTGAAACTTGAAAGTGCTATGATTTTCTTCATCTCTCAAACTTGAGAGAGAGAGAGAGAGGGAGAGAGTTTGATGATGCCCGGAAGCACCCTCAACTTGCGCACCAACAAAAAATAAGTGTCGTAAAACTAGCGATGGGCAATAGTTTGCTTAGGTCAGACCTGTTTTTTAAAAATTTGTGGGTAGTTGGCAGGGCTGGCCTTGAGTTTTTGAGGGTCCAAGGCGAAACAAAAACGGAGGTTTATATTCACAAAAATAAAAAATCACCTTCTTTGACTACTGTTGATTGATACTAAAATTGTTGATTGATACTAAAATAGATATTAAAATGTATTCATATAAAAAAAAAATTACTAAAATTAGGAAAATTTTATTCAATTAAAATGTATTAGATATGTATTGAATTAATTGTTGTTTATTGAATATGTTGTTTATGAGTGGTTGAGTGTGGTTACATTGTTGTTTATTGAATATATTGTGTATGAGTGCGATTGAGATTGGTTACATTGTTGTTTATTAAATATATTGTGTATGAGTGTGATTAAGATTGAATTAATTGTTTATTCTAATAAAATTTAATAAACAAAGAAGGTAAAAAAATATGACAAATTAATTTATTTCACTAAAATCTGATAAAGAAGGTAAAAAAAATATAAAATTAGGGGGCCTATTTTGGGCACCAACATTTTGCATGTGTATGTAGTGTTTTTCATTCAAGGGCCACAACATTCTGTATATATTTTGATTTCAATTGAGTCAAATCACACTTGTAAACAAATATGGGCCCAACAGAATATTTTTGGGTTCTTTAGATGGATTCTAAAATAATAAAAATAATTTGGGCCTATTTATATTGGTAATGTACTGTAATACTTTGGGATACCTACTGGCCGATCTTACTCTATTAATTTATTACTCATTAGGTCCTGGAGCGTTTCATGTGTGCCACTAAGTCCTTAAATGTCTTTAATATTCTCATTAAATATATGTTTTTTCTCTACTCTCTAATATTTGGATTTGGGATTCCTGTTGTTCACCCAGCACAGCAAGCACTGCTGTGCGGCCTTATGGGTTTATTTCAGGATCCGTTTTGATAATCTGAATCGTTTACATTTTAATATATATCGAATAGAACATATCTGGAAAAAATTAAGTTAATCGGATGTTGTTAACCTTTTTATCCACTATCATTTGTATCTTCAAAAATAAATGACATTGTGATTTAAAATATTAAAATGAATACAAACGAGAGTGGATGAAAGGGTTAACGATATCTAATTAATTTAATTTTTTACAAGTATGTTCTACTCAATGTACTCTAAAATGTGAACGGTTCGAATTATCAAAACGAACCTCGAAATAAGCCCATAAGGCAGCACTCTGCTGCGTTGGGTGCACAGCAGGCACCCTAACTCCCTAATATTTTGCAGAGAAAGTTTTCTCTTTATCTCTGTCTCTATCTCTCTGTCTCTTTCTCTCTCTCTCTCTCACACACACACATACACACACACCTTTCATCTCTCTATACCACCATCACACATTGCCACTGTTACCACACCTATCGCTACCATACACCGCTGGCTGCTGTTGCTCACCTTAATCAACGTGCTGCTTTGTCGCTATTAATGGTGCTCATCTTAACCATCTTCCTCCGTTAACGCCAAAGTCAATCACCTCAACCACCACCTTTATCCTCCTCTCTCGTCGCCGTCGTCACTCATCTTATACTACTGTCATCCTCCTCGTTACTTACCTTCAACATCACCGCCGCTGCCACAATCCTTCATCGATGGCTTTAGTTCTAGGTTTTCAATTCTGATATACTATCTTCGGCGCCAATCTAGTACTATACGTGGTGGCCAGTGAGATCGAGACTTTTTTTTTTTTTTTTTTAGATCTTGTTCCTCATCTCTTCTCTTTGTCTCTTTTATTTTTGAAAGTAGATTTATTGCAAATTTATTTATCAGTGATAAATAAATTAGTCTATCTTGCTTTGTATGTATGTAAGATGAGGTGTCTTCTGAGTAAGTGAGTAAGTGAATTGGTCAGATTTGGCATATGTAATTTTTTTACAAATCACGCAGTGATAAATTTATCACTGAAATGTTTAGTGGAAATTATCACTAAATATATTAGTGATAAATTTATCAGCCAATCTTGTTTTGTATGTGTGTATCAAAAGAGGTGCCTTGGGAATAAGTGAGAATGAGTATGAATCAAATTTGAAATATGTAATTTTTTTTACAAATCACCTAGTGTCTTTGATTATTTTGTTGATCTTTTAATGATCTATGACAATGATGACTTATTGTGGACTTTTTTTTGTAAAGTTTTTATTTTTCTCCTCATCTCTCTCCAATATCTCTCTCTCTCTCTCTCTCTTGTTGCTATCAGATCTGAGTAAGTAGTGGTGGCGATGAACATTGTTTTTGTTAGAAAATGGTCTGAAAAATGTAGCTGAGAGTCGGTAGAGATTGGAGATGGTTGTCGGTAGTAAGAAATGGTGGCCTAAGGTGGTCGTTGAAAATTTTCACCAAAGGCCAGAGGTTGGAGGTTATCGCCGGTGACCAAAGGTAATTGCTCTCAATGGTAAGTGATATTAGTAATGTTGTGGTTAAGTATTGAATGAGATAAGGTGAGGGTATTTTTGGAATATTGATAGTTGAAAAAAAAAAAACAGAACTTATAGATCAGTGTGCCTTTATTTGCACACCACATTTCGTCTCAAGGCACACCTTTAGTAATTTGATAAATAAAATATTTGCTCAATACACACCACAATCTTCCATCTTTACCCTTACTCACACACTCCACCCACAATCTTCCATCTTTACCCTCATTCACTCACACACCCTACCTACCCACGATGTTTCATCCCACCCTCCATTCTTTCATTGTCGTCCCAGTCTAAACCAGTGGTGAAGACCCATTCTCCTCCAATATCTGTTTCATCAAAGACATCGCCGATGGTGTTCGTTGTTGTCATCACAGTTGGAAACAACTTCGCATTGGAGATACAGTAGGTGAGAATTCTTATTTAGCTTAGATTTTAGGGTTTTATATACGTTTTTTCATTGCCATGAATATTGTATTTGAAATTTCATTTTCTGAACCGTTCGACACTGTACTTTCAAACATTAACCATTTGTTCGGATTGTTTCTGTCGAACAATGTAAATTTGTTCGACATTTTAGTGTCAAACATAATTAAACTATTCGGAAGTAGACTGTCGAACATAACGTTTTAGATACTTGGTGTATGTTACATTCATTATAGTCTTTTATGGCAATTTTACAAAAGGTGTGTATCATAACCCTTGTCCTTTGTGGTCATTTTGCATAAGGTTAATATTGTAATAAAAATTAAACTAATTATTGGTGTGCTTAAAAATTAAACCAATTATTGGTGTGCCATGAGATGAAATGCGGTGTGCAAATAGAGGTTCTTTATAAATAAATAAATCCAGCCAACAGGATTGAACTGTAAGTGCCCCTAATACTTTTCTAAATTTGGGGCCCAATTTTGGACCAATTTTTTGAGGCCCAAGGCACAGACTTCAATGGCCTTAGCCCAAGGCCGATTTTGTTCTAGTAGTTGGAGGGGTTTGCTTTTTTGACTTCTCTGTCACTTTTTTTTTTGTAAACATTTTTCAAAAAAAATCAAAAAAAAAAAAATATATATATATATATATCACGTTTAGCTTTTTTAGTTTATTTTTGGATATTTTTATATTTTTTAAATTTGTCTCCACAAGATTGGACTGGAAAAGTAACCCCCAAAAAAAAAAAAATTTTTTGACAATTTTTTTTAAAACTTTATTAAAAAGGATATTTTTATATTTTTTAAATTTGTCTCCACAAGATTGGACTGGAAAAGTACCCCCCAAAAAAAAAAAAAATTTTGACAATTTTTTTTTAAACTTTATTAAAAAAGTTTGAAAGAAATGACTTTTTTAACAGTATGCCAAACATCCATGTCTTCAACAAAACCTTCCCATTTTCTTGCCATTCACATCAACATATGATAAGATCACCCAATAATGGCCACATTTTTTCCCTTTCAAATTCCATAATGAGAAATCTCTATCAGAAACAAAACTGACACAATAATGACATTAGGTTTTACAACGAACCAATTTTTCAACACAGCAATACTAAGGTTAAACATAGAACAAAGTTAGTAGAATTCTAAAACTGCTCATACAAGTCCAAGATGTAACATACTTATCCAACAATATTTGATACTGAAACTGCAATAAAAAAAAATGTTAAAAATCCCAATAATTCTATCAAAATTTCTACCAAATGTCTCATATGGATGTGGAATCCACATGAAATCCACATAGTATGAGTTCCACATCCATGAGAGACATTTGGTAAAAATTTTAATAGAACTTTTAAAATCTCTAGCATTACTCAACTGCAATAACCAAAGTTTGGATAAAAATGTAACAGTAAATCTAAATCATTTTCTTTATAATTATGAATCATGGGAGTTTGACCGATTCCCCAACAAGCAAGCACATCAAAGTTTCTGACTTAAAAAGGGTTTCTAATTACTCTTCAGTAAATTAGAACTTGCATAATATGTCTTGTGATGCATATATAAATAGCAGTTGCAATAGATCAACAAAGTTCATGCAATGCAGTCCCAAAACTGTTCAACCAAGCCAAAAATACTTAAGCCTCAACAAACTTCTCAAGGTTTTTCAGCCACATCAGGTATTCTCTGCTGTCTTTGTTGATCATATACTCATGTAAGAAATTTGTAGTGTTGGGCTTGATTCCCCTAACCTCCAGATACTTGTGAAAAGCCCTCTGCAGATTTTCATCTAAATCCCTGGAAAATATATATATATATATATATTAGTCAAGAGAGGGGGCAAAAACAACAAAATGAATATGTAAGATAAGTTATGAACTGTAATACTAACGAGAAGTCAGGCCCCTCATAGGCAATTTGATCCTCGGAGCTTTCAGGATCCTTAACCGACAAGCTGTCTATAGAAATCTCATCTGGGAAAGCAGTACAAGTAAACTCCAAACAGGGTCCTCTACTCTTGGAAACTCTAACGATAAGGGGGACGCTAGATTGATTACTCTTCTCAGCATCAGCATCGGCAATGTCATCATCATCCTCACCAGCAACAAGGTCGGGCATCTGAACCTCAACATTGATGGTTTCACCCTGATATTCTCGAGTCAATGATATTGTCTGCTCGCCTGGGTTATCTTTAATTTTGAAGGGGAAGCCATCGGGCACCTCTTCATCCTACAAAACAAAACAAATTGAGAAAAGCAACTTTTTTGTATGGCATTGAATACAATCAAAATTGAACAAGCTAAATCTCAAGGCGTGACTGGCTTCAAACCAACTTCCATGTGAAACAGTAATGCTTACTTGCTTGGTCACCAATGTAAGGGCATCTCCAACACTGGACTCAAACCTATATTAAATTTAAATTTGGGTAAAAATCACTCAAAACCTTCTCCACTCCCTGACTCAAACTTACATCCAATTGAGTTTTACCCTTTTTTTTTTACACAAATCAAGGGCAACTCGGATGTTTACTTGAAAAAGGATTTACTTAAATTTATGCTAAAATACGAGTTTGTCCATTGGGGTGCTTCCTTCTTAAATTTGAGTAAGGGCTGGAGATGGCCTAACTCAAAGAAAGGGCAGCATCTCCAATTCTTTACCTTTTCTTTCATCGAATTTAAATTTGATGGAAAAGTGTTTAAAAATCATTTCCAATCCTTTCATCAAATGTTCATCAAATCAACATAGAGTCATTTTTTTCATTAAATTGAGAACTCATCAAATGAAAATTTAAGAAGAAGAAGCATTGGAGATGATTTTTTATTATTATTATTTTTTTAATCAAATTTGACGAAAAGTGAATTTTGGGATGAGAAAATAATTTTTTACAGGGTAAATTACACTGACACCCCCGGAGGATTGGTCCGATTACATCCCACCCCCTGGTGTTATAGAAATTGCATTCTCACCCCTATTGTTAATAGTCTCATTTCAAAAACTCTCCTAATTATATTAAAGGCACCAACCTCTGATAGAAAAACAAAGAAAATTACATTAAAAAAAAAAAAGAGTAAAGTAAAGTAAAGCAAAGCAAAGCAAAGCAAAGAAGAAGAAAAAAAAAAAGGGAAAAAGTAAAGCAAAGTAAAAAAAAAAAGAGAGAGTGTACGAATGCAATATCTTTTTTATACCAACGTTAATTCCGTCAAAATAATTACAATGACAGGGGATCAATGTAATTTTCAAAACGTCAGAAGGTGATATATATTAAACCCAAACCTCAGGGGTGTAATTGTAATTTATCCTTTTTAAAAAGATTTTGATAAAAATTTGATGAAATGATTGAAGTAGTTCATATCAAATCAAATGTTTTACTCAAATCTGAAATCAAATGAAAATTTTGGTGAATGATTGGAGTTGGTCTCAGAAATCTGAATGGAATACAGGCCCCCAAAAAAGAAGTGTAAAAAAATTCTGATATTTTTATTTGCAATAATAATTGCTTTTCACCATCACATTTCCTAACAAACAATGATTTCCAATTAAATGAATAGAAGTTTTTTCTACTTTTTTTTTTCACTCTAAATTGAGATTAGGTTTACTATCATTGAGCCGTGGACTTCAATCAACTCGGTTGGTAATATCTTTTCATGATTTTAAAGATCCTTCCCCAACTCTAAATCATGAACTTAACTCCTGTATCAGATATAATCAAATTAAGCTCTTTATTTACAAGAAATAAATAAATAATAATAAAATCAGATTACTCAATGCCTAAATTGCCACACATTACACTTGATAACATTTTCTTTCCAGTTTTCTCAAACCAATTTCTGCCCACAAGAAAGTTTCAGGAAAATGATAATGAAAATTAGGACAAACATAAAAGAAAAATAGAAACCACAACTGTACTAGTTTCTCAGGAACCAAACAGAGGGTAGAGAATAGCAGTGAGTGAGGAACACACCTGACCATGATCATCAGACTCTTCGGCGCACTTGATCTCCGACTTTATGACTCGGAGGAGAGTCTCGTCGGAACTCGGCCTCTTAGAAGTCGAAGAGTAGTGAAGGATTGATGGGAATGAAGCCCGAGAGAGCTGACGAGAGAGATTGCTGTGATTGACGGCGGAGAAAAGAGCAGAGCAGTGGTGGTGGTATCTGTGACCTCCGATTACTCGAATCGCTAGAGGTACAACGGCGGAGGCTGACCTGCGAATCATGCTAGCAAACGCCATTTCAAGAGCGAGAGAGAGAAGAGAGGGTTAGGGTTTAAGGTTTAGGGTTTTGGTTTGGACAAGACGAGAGAGGGCTTTGATGTATTAGGGTTTCGAGGGTTTTAGGGTTATGATCGGGTGTACCTGCCTTCGGAACTTACTGACTACACTTGCCTTGTGATATATTTTTGTGGGCAAGGAATCCCCACCGCCTTTATTTAATTTTTGAAAAATATTTATGAGTTCAAAATTTTCGACACACGATTGGCCCAAATTTAAAATGACGTTATTTTGAAATTATTTTTTCCTTTTCTTTTATCTGTGAAATAGAGGGAAGAAGAAAGAGAGAGAATAGTGAGGAAGATAAAAGAAAGAGAGAAAAGAGAGGGGAACAGAGAGATCCATCGGCGCTGCCATCCTTCACAGATCTATGTATACATAGCACTGCTATCCTTTTATAAATCTGTGTATACATGGCACTACCATCCTCCACAGATTTGTGTATACACGGCGCTGCCATCCTCTACAGATTTGTGTATACATAGCACCGCCATCCTCCACATATCTATGTATATACAAATCTATGTTGATCTGTGTATATGTCTTTTTTTTGTTCTGTGTATCTTTTTCTCTCTGTGTGTCTCTCTCCCTGATTAGTTTTGATTTGTGGGTTTGATTTTTGGTTTTGATTTGTGGGTTTGATTTTTAGCTTTGATTTTTGGGTTTGATTTGTATTGGTTTTGATTTTTGATTTTTGGGTGAATCTTTTGCTCTATCTTTCTTTTCTTCTCTTTTTTCCTTATTTTTCTGCGAGTTGTGGAAAGGAAGAATAAGAAGAATAATAAGAAAAGGAAAAAGAAAAGAAAAGAGAGAAGTCAAAACGATGTCGTTTTGGGATTTCGGGCCACTAGAGCTTCTAAATTTTCGTGTTACCTAGCGGGGTTGTTAATTTTTTATTTTAGAAAATGGAAGAATTGCATGCACGTGGTAGATAGAAAAAAATTACAAATATATGGGAGTGTAAGTAATTACAAAAAATTACTTTGTTTTTTATCACTCTCTGGAAAATTTGGAAAAACAGGAATTTAAAAATTTTTGACAACAAAACTTCTAGCTTTTTTGAAAGTTTTAAGTTCATATTAGATTATTCTAGAGAGATTAACCAAGCTTTCACTTTGTTTGTTACTAACCCAAGACCAGCACTTATGCTAATCAAGTGGATTTGTCCCCCCTCAGGTACCTTCAAGTTGAACACTGATGGCTGCTACCGAATGGCCAGACCTGGAGGTTTTGGAGGCCTGTTAAGAGATGAAACAGGAGCATGGATTTGTGGTTTCTATAGTAAACTTGCGACTTGTACCAGCCTTGAGGCATAGCTATGGGCTGTATACAAAGGCCTAACCATAATCCTTCAAAAAGGTTTCCACAAAGTGATCATTGAAATAGATGCGACTGAAGTAGTGAAGCTACTTGAAGAAGGTCTTGGAGAACACCACCTCCTCCGAGGCCTTGTGGAAGACGGACGAATAATCTTTAATGGCTGTCAATGCACTGTACAACACATCTACAGAGAAGGAAATTTATGCGTACATGTAATGAGCAAACTTGGAGCTGAACAACCTGAGGACATTCTAGCTGTAAATGACCCACCTGCTGAAATCAGAGAGCTCTTGGTCTCTGATATGGTTGGGTTAGCTAGGGAAAGGGCTTAGTCCCTGTTTGTTTGTTTTTCACTGCCGCTGTATCGAAAAAAAGTAAGTGTGTCTATAGTGGGAGTGTATTACACCCCCTACGTGTTGATAAATTTTTTATTTTTTATTTTTTTTTCATTCTATTACTTGCATGTAATTCTCCCATAAAAAATTATCTCGGGTAATTTAAATTTTGTCTTACATATGTATCGAAAAATTTATAGTTATAATTATTAATATTGATAAAATTTATCACTAATTTATAATTATTTTTCAATTTTATATTGATCTAATTATTTATTTATTTTTTTGAAGTTTCTCGTTTTTAATTATAGCTTTTTGACAAATCATCACTGTGATTCCAAGCCTCCAAATTTCAATTGAGTAATTTATTCTCCATTTATTTTATTTTGAAAGTTAATTGGTATTATTAGCTTAGTTGTAATGCATTTTAAAATTTTGTACTGTATTTTTTTGTCCAATTTAAAAAAAAATTAAGCCCACCCAACGCTCGGCCCTAACACAATCACCTTATATTTTTAAGCCCATGAATAAGTCTTGGACTTTAAGAATCCAATATGGGCTGACCCAAGCCTAATGTGTGTGAATGCCCATGGGCCAGAGCCTTAAATTGTAGAATTGGGCTGGGCTAACCTATTGCGTTTAGGACATTACCAAGAAAAGACTAACCCAATGAAGCTTAGTAAATTTAGCCAAAAGGAGAAGTATCTAAAATTTGTTGAGTATTCAGACAAAACATTAGCTGAAAATGTAAAAAAAAACCCCCAAAATATGAGGGAATGGGAAGACAAAAGCAAAAGCCACATATACAAGTGTACAAATCACAAGACTTACAGAAATGAAATGATTAAAAAATGGTTACAATTGGAAACAATAATTATTGTCCCAATTCTTTCAGAAAGGGTACAGATTTCAGGGCTTCTTTGTCCCCAGCCCTAGATCTTCCTTCATCACAAAACATTTTCTGAGAATTGTTCAGAAATCTCTAAAGCATCCACAACAGGGCCCTCATTCTGCTTTGGAAAAAGGACCCATCTAAAAAGAGAGATAAAGGGTTCTATAGAGAGAGATTGTGTTATAGGTCCTCAGACACAGAGAGAGAGAGAGAGAGAGAGAGGAGAGGAGAGGAGAGAGAGAGAGAGAGAGGGAGGGATGAAAGACTTGTTTGGCAGTCCAGGGAAGGTGAGTGGTCTTGTTTTGAGGATAGGACAGTGTTTGTTTGCTGCTGCTTCAATTGGGGTCATGGCCTCTGCTTCTGGCTTCTCTGGCACCACTGCCTTCTGGTATTCCCTCTCTCTCTCTCTGTTCACCAACACATTTCTCTCTCATTTTTAGTTCTATCTTTACCCTCCTGCTTCTTCTTCTACTGCTTTCTTTACTTTTTCTGGAGTTGCCTGTACATTTTTTTTTAAAGATTTGTTTTTATGTGTATGCTTGGGCCATTTCCAGCCCTTACTCAAATTTTGTACTAAAAAAGTAAAAGCTTTACTATATATGAAGTACTTCAATGGACAAACTGAGATTTGAGTAAAAACTTCAGCAATGGCAGAGTTGTAAATTTGAAAGCTATGAAATGGTCTTTGAAAAATTTGAGTAAACATTTGAGTCTTCCTTGAATTGGGTAAAAAAAAGAAGGATAAAACTAAATTTGACACAAGTTTGAGTCAAGGAGTGGTGAGGTTTTTGAGTGGGTTTTACCCAAATTTGAAATAGGTTTGGGTCAAGAATTGGAGATGTCCTTATGTGTATACTTACATATGTATTTATGTATGTGTGTATATATGGTTCTTGTATGGCTCATTGAAACTTCAATTTCCATTGTGGGTACCTTGCTACCTTGGTATGTTTTTGTGAGTTTATTACAAATTGAATTTGTTCTCTTTTCCCATATGGGTACTGGTTCTTTACGGTGACATTTGGTGTCTGCAGCAAAGAAAAGTTTTGGCATTTATGGTAATCTGTGGTTGTCATATTGTTTAACGAATCAACGTTTTTAAAACAGAAAATATGATATTTGCAACATTCAATGACAGATTTTCTATTACTGTCTTGACAAAAGGGGAATGCTTTTGGATATAAAGGCCCTAATGCCACACATTTGGTTTCGGTGACGATCTTTCTCTGTTTCTTTTCTATTTAGTTGTCATTTTTGGGAATCAACAATAAGTATGATAAAATGATAGTTATAACTACAAAAACTCGACTAAATTCTTAATTTTTTTGGAAGCTTGAAGGATGAATTTGGGTGAACCAAAGCAATTATGGTTTCTTTCTATGGATCTAGCTGTATTTGAAGCTAAACCTTCAAAAGACGTAGCCAATAGATTTCCATAAGGATGAGAGTGAAGACTCAGGTGTCCAAAATCTTCAGTTTGTTGGCTTATTTATTTGCTTAGATATTGCAAAGTTTTGATTTGTCCACATAAGAATATACAAGGCATGGATGATGCTCAGATTTATCACATTGCATGGTTATCAGGACAAGATGGATAAGCTTTAATGTGGATGGCAAGTTGTTAGGTTAGATTTTAGTAGATTTGGCTAAATTCTTTGAGAATAGCTTATTCACGGCTGACCCATAAGCATCGTAGAATTTATGGACAACCTATCCCTATGAGAATATCATGCTTCTCCATTTCCCTTCCCTCTAGCCCAGCTACCACCACCATCATCAAACACACCTTCAAGACAGTGAGATTGCAGATATCTACTCATATATTCATGTGTCTTGAAAGAATAAAGCAACAGATTTTTGATAAAAAAATTAATTCATCCACCCAAGTAAAGCTTCATATTCTTTCCTGTGATTCTTCTTATTAATTTTTAAAAATTTATAAATTTATAAGCCATACCCATTTTTTTCATTGTGATTCTTTTTATTATTGATTTTGAAATCTACTATTGACTATTGAAAACCTCTACTGAATCTAAATCTAAACCCACCATCACCACTACAAACACACAATCACCAACATCAAACCCACTATTTTCAGCACAAACCCAGCATTGAACCCGCCATCGCTGCCATCGGTTGAGTAATATCCAAGGTGGTTTCCTGAAGAGAGAGGGGAAGCGAAACAGAGAACCAAATGGAAGAAAGATTTGTAAACACACCTCACAAATTGGGATGGCATTGCAGCTCATGATTGGGTGTCCATAGAGTCGACGGTTTGTGGGACGGCCCGTGAATAAGTTATTCTCAAATTCTATTTGGTAACGTTGTTGAGTGGCCACTAGATATTCTGAATGTATTGAATTTTGGATTGTTAATAAAATATTTGAGAGTTTCTCTCTTTTCTTCCTTGTGGATTCGAGGAAAAGAAACCATAGTGGATTACATGGAAACTTAGTGGATTCTAAGGTAGACTAGGGTGAAGACTGGATACACTTGTCTTGTATACCATCCCATGTTTTTTAATTGTTAGTGGGCAGATCCTAGAGTCATAGTCGAAATTTGATTTTGTTTCTACATTTCGTTGTAGTTATTGAAATTGTTAATTATCTTGAAGTAATAGGACAAGTAGAAAGAAGTTGTGCAGTTGCATATCAACCGCATGCTGGGTTTAAGTCAATGGTCATTTATGAATCAGTCTGTAACTCAGTTACATTAAGATTTCACTTTCACTCCAGGACACATAGGAATAACTGGACAAATCTAGTTTGCATTTGGGTTGAGAAGATTCAAATGAATTGGGAGTACAACTTTGATTTTAGAATGAATAGCTTACATTTTAGATTTCACCAAGATCGATGGGAGGATTTGAGAGGCTTATGTGTGGGTGGATTGAAATGACAAGGTGAGAGAAGTTATTTGAAATCTACTCTCCCAATCTAACTGCAATAGCCATTCCTCTTATATAATTGTAAATTTGAGCCTCAAGTTCCTTCATTTTAAATTGAACTGAATTCCATCAATAATGGTCAAGAAGTTGCACATGCTTAGGCTTTGTAGACGACATTAATGCAGTTCATACTCCGTCATGATTTTGCTATTTTGAACTCTTAGTGATGTTACCCCATTTGACCACAAATCTTTTTGAGTTTCCTTTCCCATAACATGGCATTTTAGAGTATGTTAGTATTTTTGCATTTTAGATCCCATTCTACATTGTAGGTGTCCACTAATCCGCGCTAAGTAAATTTTCTCATCAAAAGTAGTTGATGGTAATTTGAACTTTTGTAATACTACTCCACTAAATGCTAAGAGCTCAGTGCTGACCTATTACCACAAACTAATAATTTATGCTATGTTATTATTGTATTCCCTATTTTTCTTTTTCTTTTTTCTCTTCTAATTCTTTTCTTCTGCACTACCAGCTCCTCTTTATTCTTTTTAAGACGACAAACTTGCTTTCTAGCTTAATTGTTGTGGTGTTGTATGAATATAAGATTTAGCAGAAAAATCATTTCTGAGCTAAGAAAGAAATTTGGGTTTGTGGGCTTGCATGTGTAGGGGCATATGCAAAGATGCAATGGTGTGCCTGTTGAAGATACATAATTAAGTTGCATTTTTCTCTAATAGCTTAAGTTTTTAGATGGGTTGGTGGTTAAAAACTTTGCATGGTATCAAAGCAGGCAAAGTTCCTTGTGTTCAAATCACACAGTCTACCTGATAACTATAATACTTGCTTGTGTTTAGCTGCTCATGTTGGGGATTGGGAAGCTTGGTCACAAGTGAAGGGATAAATAAGTTGCATCTCTCTCTCTCTCTCTCTCTCTCTAATTGTTTAATAATGCATTGTGTGTGAATGTTTGTTTGTTTGCATGATGGTGAACCAAGTAGTGTTGTTTGTCTGCTAATGGGCTTAAATTGATATCATTACATTCTTGCTAATTTGTAAAGGAAATTTTATATTTCTTGATGATGTTTCCTTTAGCAAGTCCAATAGTGATCTGTTGTGCATATGCTGTGGTATATATTCTCACTATTATACATTTCTGGGTTTCAGCTATTTAATTGCATCAATGGGGCTTCAAATCTTGTGGAGTTTCGGACTTGCATGCCTCGATATTCATGCTCTGAGGCTAAAAAGAGACCTGCATAATCATGTCTTAGTGAGCCTGTTTGTTGTTGGCGATTGGGTTTGTGATTTTCCTTCTGAACTAGTTTTAATCATAATTTTAATGCCCTTCGATATCTTCTTTTGTTTCCAATTGGAGATATCTAGTTGAAGTCAGCTGTGACAGAGTATTCACATCAGATTGAAAAAGGAAACACTGATTTTGGTTCATGTGTCTTAACAGTTTCTTCTCTCTCTCTCACACACACACACACCCCTTTGCCATCTGGCACTTTGTTTGACTTTGAATTTAAAAGCAGGTCTTAGATGTCTTCGACTTCTTTGTTTTGTTCAGCTTGACACAATTTAGCAGGACACAATTCATTCAAGTTCGTGAATAATTTTAAAAACCTCACGTCGAGTGAGATCAATGAGATAATATTTCTTGAAATTGATCCAATGAATTTTTGTATCAAAAAATATATTTATGATATATTTTTCTCAGTACAAATTAATACTACTTAAAGTAGGTCAAGATTGGTATTTTGCATTACGGGACTTCCCAGAAATTTTGCACATTTTCAATATCTTTACTTCATGTTGATATTATAACTATGCTGCATAGCATGTTAGTGTTTCACCCCAAGACTAAGAATCTTGTCTAGAGATCGTAAAATTGGTTTTTTTTCATTGATGTAAACTTAACTGGGACTGAATTGGTATGGCAGGTGACAGCCATTCTATCACTTGCAGCTGCATGCTCATCGGCTGGGGTGGTAGTTCTGTTTTCAAGAGATACAAATTTCTGCCGGGTAGAGAAGCAACTTTCATGCAGTATGTACAAAATTTCTGTTGCTTTTGCTTTCATGTCATGGTTCCTCCTTGCAATATCATCTTATGTCATGTTTTGGCTTCTAGCCTCCGTCTGAACGATTTGTTGGCCATGTCAACTACACACGGTTCATGTTGCTCTCCTTTGTGTAAATATTGCTCTTCTCCTGAACATATTTATTGGAAATGGTTTTGTTTTTTTGTTTTTTCTCCTCTCAATTGCATGTATTTTTGGTCATGTTTGAAGGTGTTCATGAATCAATCATGAACCATGTTGTAATGCAGCCATACTTGTTTCTTTGCCCTTTGAGAGTAAGAAAATGAGATTATTAAATTTGAGTGGCTTAGTAACTCTCAATCAATGTGTGAATGAATGTTCAATCTCAATTGATTACAACATCAACAAGCAATTCTCTTTTCTTTTTTTTTTTCTTCTTTTTTTCTTTTCGTATGAATCCCCAAATTACAACTTTCTCTTTTTTCTTTTTTTCCGCGGTATATTAGAGACTCTAGTTTGGGGAGGAAGAGTTTTGATAGGCAATACTTGAATCTGCGACCTTGTAGTGATGTCTACTTTATTTATGGAGAGGACAAGCTTTAGTCATTTGTCGTACCCTCGTTTGATTCATTTTGACATATCATTCCAGCTGTTATTCTTTTTCTTCTTTTTTTTTTTCCTTTATTATTATTATTTTATAGCAGCAATGATAGAGGGCCCGAATTTTCCAGGTTCGAATGGCTCGAATTGACTAAAACGACGTCGTTTTGGACACAAAACAACACAAAACGACGTCGTTTTGGTCAATTCGAGTCATTTGAGCCGCGAATATTGTGGCCACCAAACATTTTTCTATTTCATAGTTAAGTTACCGGCACAAAATTTGGGGTACAAGAAGTGAAGGGTGTGATGTAGATTCATTTTATATCTGTAGAAATACTGGGCTTGTTTGGTTTGTTTTTGTAGAGTAGTTTTTTAGATAAAAAGTACGAAAACTTATTTAGTTTGTTTTTTTTTTAGAAATAGTTTTGGAAAATTATTTTGGAGAGAGAGTTTTAAAAAAAGTGATTGATTTGATGTGTATGAGAATGTGATTTTGAAAAGTAGATAGCCAAATAAAATTTTGAGATTTTTTTTGAAAAAATTTGTTTGGTTTGATTACTCTTGAAAATTTGTTTATAGAGAATTTTTCTCAAAATTTTTTCTGAAAAACAAATCAAACAAGCCCACTATTTTTGTTATTATTAGGGAATGTGATGGTCCCACATAGTTGTTGAAAGTTTAGATAATAGCAGTCACCCTCGTATAAAATTATTGAAATATTTGATAGCAACTTCCCAACAAGTACAACAAATTTTTTTTAATTTTTAGACATACTTAACATAAATATACTTAAAAAGTAAAAAATTCGTTAAATTTTTTTTTTTAAAAATTCACTAAATACCAAAAATATAAATAAAAAAAAAATACAAGAATTTAGTACATTTTTTTATATTTTTATGTATTTATTAATTTTTTAAAATATTTTTTCACAATTTTTTCACTTTTTAGATATATCTAAGTAAGGTACATTTCAAAAAATAAAAAAAAATATTTACTAAAAATAAAAAAATACAAAAATCAAAATATTTAATTTTTAAAAAATTTAATTCAAAAAATTCAAACCAAATATAGTGAATATTTTTCTCCGCTGTTGTCTTTCTTTGTGGAATAACGTATTGATGGTTGCAATTTCTTCACATGGCCAGGTCACACACTACTTTCTTCATTTCAATATGTACCTTTATATATTTTTAAGGGGAGGAATAAGGTAAAGGAGAAGCTGCGTCACCTAGCTAAAATAATACTTAACTTGGGCATCACGATTGATAAGGAAATATCTCATTCACCAATTCTTAGGCTAAGTTTGGGTACTTCCAAAAAAGTTAAAAAGTTAAAAAGTTATTCAAAAAGTTAAAAAGTTAACACTATTCACCAAAAGTCAACAATTACGGCTGCACAACTCCCATAAGGGGAGGAATAAGGTGAAGGAGAAGCTGCGTCACCTAGCTAAAATAATACTTGAACTTGGGCATCACGATTGATAAGGAAATATCTCATTCACCAATTCTTAATCTGTGAGATTTAAATTCACTTATCACGCTTTATAAAATTGTACTTTTATTAGATAGTTTGATAAATATGATTGGATTCATTTTTTAACAATTTAACATGATATCAAAATCTAAATTAGGGAAAATTTTGAATTAAAATCTATCCATTAACAATTTTTTCTTTAGTTAGCATACTTTGTTATAACTCGAGTATTATTTGTGATTTTCCCAAGAAACTTTCACCCTCCTGAGAAAGACCATTAGATCTACAATTAGAATATATAATTGTATTTTTTTGACTTTTTGATTAAAAGAGTAAAGGAAAAAAATATAAATGTTTGGAATAATTTTTTGTATTTTTATAAAAAGATATGTAATAAAATCAAAATGACTATTTTACCCTTATTGACTTTTGGATAGTTAAATCAAAAGGACAAAATAATAATTTTGCCTCTAGACTTCCCCACAAACTTTTTTCAAATAATATGAACTTTTTAATTTTTTTAATATTTTTTTTAACTTTTTAACTCTTATAAGTTATCTCAAACCTTAATTAGAAGTCTTTCTTCAATAATATAAATTATCTTTTGATATTGTCAAATCTTACAATGTCATCAAACTTCCACTATATATTCCGCAAATTAAGTTGAGCGCCCACATAATTAAATTTTATTAATCACGATATGAAAATTCCGCTATTTATTCCGCAAATTACGCTCAGCCCACATAATTAAATTTTCAAGAATAATCAAACTAAACAAATTTTTTCAAAAAAAATCTCAAAATTTTGTTTGGTTACTTACTTTCCAAAATCACTCTCTCTCTCATTTACATCAAATCAATTACTTTTTTTAAAACTCTCTCCCCAAAATAATTTTTTCAAAACAATTTCTGAAAAAAGACAAACCAAACAAATTTTCGTACTTTTTATCTCAAAAACTACTCTACAAACGCAAACAAAACACACCCTTGGTAATTTATTTGGGATCTATAGCATTTTCTTAAAAATTATCAATGGACACTTTTCATATTATCTTCTAAAACATCAGATTAATTTAACCTACTGATATAATATTCAGCACCAGAGAGATCACAACAGTCAATCATCCAATGCCAAAAATGCTATTAAGCTAAACAAACAAATAATTTATTTCTATAAACATTTAAAGATACATAGCTCACACCACTGATCAATATATAAACCCCTCAAAACAGACACTTAACACCTTCAGAACTGTAGCTCACAATCATATCCCAACTTGTAGCACTGAGTTTTACACTTGCAAAGTAGGAGAAATGGGGAAAAAACACATAAATGGGACAGAACACATCCAAATTCAAAACACAATAGATAACTTACTACTACCAACACCATACCTTCACATAACTATCTCTGGCTTCAAAATGCTCGATTTGATCTCTTTGTGTGGCAAAACTACGCCCCCATTGCTGTAAATCTCATCGCAGACGTGAACATCCTCTCCAAGAATTGTCATGTTCTCCACGCGAGCCCACTGCCCAACAGTTGAGTGCCACCCAATGATGCTACTTGAAATGCATGCGTGTTTCTTGATGCGGACCCCACGCATTACGGTGCAGCGAGAGAGTCTAACTCCTGCCTCAACCACACAGCCTGGGCCAATTGCAACGTCAGGACCAATTAAACATCCTTCGCCAATTTTCGAGGTCTCATCAACCAGAACATTTCCTACAATATGAGGTCCAGTAGACAATTTAGATGGAGATTTCTTTCTCAAGGAGTCAAGGTAAAGTCTCAGGCCAGTAATGTAGTCCCTAGGCTGTCCAATGTCCATCCAAAAGCCTGGTAAAACCATGCCGTAAAGTTGTTTCTGGGCTGCAATTTTTGGGAAGACCTCTTTTTCAATTGAGGTGGGCCTCAGTTCAATTCGATCAAGAACAGATGGGTTCAGCAAGTATATTCCAGCATTGATCTTGTTACCCACAAATAATTTAGGTTTTTCTACAAATCTCTCAACTTGGCCAGTTGATTCTTCCATAACCACCACACCATATTTTGATGGCTCGTCAACCTACATCAACCAACCAAATCATTTCCAATCATCTTACTTTGATTTAGAAGTTCAAAATGTCTTGGAAGAGAAATCTAGGAAAAACTGATAACAGGAAATATATGTATTCAAGTTTACCTTGGTTACCATTATCGAAGCCTCGCCTCCATGGGATTTGTGGAATTCGATCATCTCTTTGAGGGGGTATTCACTGATAACATCACTGTTAAGTACAAAAAATGGCTCACCAGAATCATCTATCAGTTTGTCCCTAGCCAGAGCCAGAGGACCTGCAGTACCAAGTGGCTCAGTCTCTTGTGAGCACGTGATTTTGATTCCAAGTTTAGCCTCAAAGTCCTTTAAGAAGTTCAACATCACCTGACGAAACAAGCTATTTTAACACAAGCGAGTTCACCAACAAAAGGGACACCAGTAATGTCTAAGAAACACATGAATTTTGTTGTAGAGAGAGCCACAGGATTTTACCTCTGGTTGGTAATTGATAGCTAGAACCACTTCACTCACTCCAATAGCCTTGAGAGCCTCAATCTGATGTAATTCAAAGACAAATCATATAAACCCATGGTGAGCACCCAAGTGCGCCCGCACATAGATAAAGGGAAGAAAGAGCAAGGGAAAATTTAGGAAGGAAACAGAACAAACTAGAAAAAAAAGACACATTGACAACTATCATACCTGATGCAGGATCATAGGTTTGTTAGCAAAATCGACAAGAGGCTTTGGGACACTAAGTGTCAATGGTCTCAACCGAGTTCCAAAACCACCAACTAGAATGAGAGCCTTCATTGTGAGATGGCCTGCTTATCTTGCCATTAGACAGTCAGAATCTAGCAAAAATGTATCACAAACTAACAAATAATGCAATTTAAAACCCAGTTAGATGACAGAGTCCAATCCTTCATATTTATTCATTCCATGAAGGAAGAAAGCTGCATTGCCATAGAACTCTTTATTGACATTTGTGGATCATGAGAAATGATAATAAGCTGATCTCCAAGGGCAAACCTGTTGGTCCTCTACTAACAGGTATTGTATCAAACTTGACACGATATCACCAAAAGCACGGAAGAGAACACAAAACCAGTCTACATGGAAGGCAGGTGAGAAGGAAAAAAAAAGGAACTGGAAAATTTAACTTTAGGCTGGCCGAAAGATTCATACACGCATCATAACATGAATCATAACGCTTATAGACAGTCAGGTAAAATACATCCAAATGGTTTAGCTGGTCGAAGGAAACAAAGTCCAGCTGCACCACAGGCTGGAGGTTTTAATGGGAATGACAAATCCATTGAATTTTATGATGGCCAACTACATAAAACATACAGAGTACTACTCCACAATCTAGTTGGGAGTTCACTATTATTTCTTTCATGTCTCAACCCAAAAAACTTGCAGTCAATATGAGAATAACCAAATGGTTTAAAATGGGTACTCCAAGAAAGAGCGCAACTAAGCAAAACCTCATCCCTAATGTCAGGTTCAGTTGAGTGGTTCTTGTTTCTCAGCTCTACATGTTCCCAATAATATAGAGTAACACCTTATTCATCTATTTATTTTACAGGGAAAACTGGTTTCACTCAATAGATATATTCATAGCAAAAGTAACAAAATGGAGTTTTGGATTTGACCATAAGAACACAAAGTTCACAGGGGGAAATTTTTCTGATTCTTTGTGATCACCAAAAGAAGTAAAAAGTAATTATCAGAATTATTATAATATAAAGAGCAGTAAGTTCATCGCTCAAGATTTTGGTTGACACTTCCACTAAAAAGGCACATTCCCAAATGGATAGGAAAACAAATCACCATGAAACTCAACTCAACTCAACTCATCAAATCCTTAATCACATCTACCATATGAATCGGCTAAGAAACTTTGTTTTGTCCCTCCATCCACATCTTCCGAATACAATCTACAGCCACGACTGTCAATTGCAATAATTTGACATGTTGTGGATTGATAAAGAAAACAGTTGGGAGGTTCTAATTAATTCAGTTAGAACAAAATTTCAATTTTTCCTCCTTCTAAGATTAGCCATAGAAGCCAACCAAGCAATAACTGCAAATAAGCACAAAAAATGAAAATAATTTATCAGATCATGAAGGAATAGATGCCAGATCTGATGACATAAACAATATACGTTCTGTATTTGACAAGAAAGCTCCAAACAAAATATTCAAATGATAAAAAAAAAAAAGAAGCCAAAAACAATGCATATATCAAAAACGATAGAATTTAAGCACTGAAAATCGAAATTAACAACTTTCGAGAAAATTTAAGACCAATTACGATAAGATCTTAACTACATTATTATGAAAGCGCTCTAAAATCTCCAAAAAAGCACAGAGAAAGGAGGAGCAAACGACGAGTTACAAAGCTCAAAACGACCAAATTACACCAATCAAATCGCCAAAAAGTTGAGAACAAAAAGCAAATCAAGCACATAATTAACAGAGAATTCACCTTAGATCCCAGCGAGCTATAAGGGGAACGAGTCGGAGACGAGTTTCAACGGTTGAATATGACTCGGACTGAGTCAGAATCACCCCCAACGGTTTTTCGTCAGGGGTCTGTGTGCGGTGTTCGCAGGGCGTTTGTTGAATGAACCTTCAACCTCTCTCTCTCTATATACATAGATATATATAGAGATAGAGATGGATATGCGTATCAGTATTCCGGGAATATAAGAATTGACTGGAGAGTATTTTAACTTTTCATAAAAAAAAGTTGTAAAAAATAAAAATAAATAATTTCACAATTTATCGTCATCACAAATTCATATGGTCAACCGAAGCTAATAATAGGGCTAAATTTTTATGATTTAAAAAATAATAAAATTTATAAGGTTAAATTGAAAAAATTTATCAAAATTTTTTTGTGTAAAATGAAAAATAAATAAATAAAATAATATTTTAAATTTTAAATTATATATGTTATATATTAATATATCAAGGGTATTGCTTAAAATATGATTTGCCTTCTATAATTTTGAAAATTACATCTCGCTAATTGAAATTTTAATTTCATAACAAATACTCTTTTTATTATAACTAATCAAGTTAATTAATTTTTTAATAATGTTAGAAATTTATTTTAATTATAATTTAGGAAATTTTATTATTATATAAGAGAATAGTTAGAAATTTTCTTTTTTAGTTAATTCAATTAAATAAAAAATTATGATAAGAAATATTTGTAATTTTATAAAATTATAGAAGTAATTATTATTTCGAACAAATCTCAAAAAATATATTTATAATTTATCCTATATTTAATATCTATCTATCTATCTATTATCTATCTATACTATATCTATACTTATATATAATCAAATGTAATTGTTTTGTCAAAAGCCACCAAATATTCATTCTTAAATTCTCATAATTTTAAAACTCTCTCTTTCCTACATGGCAACGCTCTTTGATTGTTTTTCATATTTTATATTTTCTTCCATTTTCTATTTATTTGATTAATTAAAATGAAAATTAATTTCATGGCTTGTGGATAAATATTTGAATTTCAAAATTCCTCCATATAAATAAACATATAAAAAATGATAAATAATTTATGAAAATTAATTTCATGGTCAACAGATAAAGATAAAAATTAAATAATTAAATTAAAAAAATTAATTTCATAACTTATAGATAATTTAAAATTTCTTCCCATAAATAAACAAATAAAAGTTGATAAATAACTTATAAAAATTAATTTCGTGGCCTACAAATAAACATAAAGATTAAATAATTGATTTCCTTTTTTAAAAAAAAAACAAAATTAGTCTCTCTTTTTTTCCCCTCCATTTCGTACTTTAATTAATTTCATTATAAATAAACATATAAAAATTCATAAATAATTTATGAAAATTTGTTTCATGACCTATAGATAACGATAAAAATTTTAAAAATTATTTTAAAAAAATAATTTCATGACTTATAGATAAATAAACATGTAAAAATTGATAAATAATTTATAAAGATTAATTTCGTAGCCCATAGATAAAGATAAAGATTAAATAATTGATTTTCAAAAAATTAAAAACATATATATCTATAAAAAAAAAATTTATTTTAAATTTTTTATCTTATGAAATGCCCTTATCTATAACTTCTTATCTCCTATTAAATTCTTAACATTCTCTTAATAATTTTTATTATTCGTTATTATTTACCAAATGATAAAGATTATAAAAAATAAAAAAAAAATATCGCTCTGAATGAGAATAGTATTAATAATGAAATAATAAATGCTACACAGGAGAAGGTAGCACAAAAATCTCACAAAATTAATTTTCTTCACTATATTTATAAAATGTAATAATTTGAGATTCTTTCTATTAATTATTAAAAATAATTTGTATTAGATCATTATTATGTTTTTTTTTTAATTTTTTTATGAGGCTGTCATTCGTTATAGTATTTCTTCAATCCCATCTCTAAATTCTCTCTTTGAAATTTTTGTTTTTTCAATAATTAAGTTTAGAATCAATTTCCTATCAAATTTGTTTTCTTGATCCTTATTTTATTGCAGGATCGAGACGAATAAAACTTTCATATAATATATGAAATTAATGAATATAATACAAAGATGATAGGGAAGTACTATATATTTGTCAATATCTCTATGTTATTGTTAGTTGATTTGCTAGATTATACTATCAATTTAGAACCCATATAATTTAATTCAATGTTCATGACTCTATTTGTATTCGACCATTTTTTTGTTGAGTAACCGATATAATTAATTTTTTTGGTATATAATGATTAAAGATATCATTTGTTATATTTTTCAAGTACAATTCAAATAATTTTTTTATCATTTTTTATAAATAAAATGGATTAAAACTATTTTCTTATATAATTTTTATAATACTATGACATTCTTATCTTGATTAATTTTTTTAAAATGACGTAGGAACTATGCAAGTATTATTCAAATTATGGAGAATAATTTATACTTTGATATGATATGAGTGTGTTATTGATAGAGGAAATCAAAGATAGAGAGTTGCTAATATAATCAATTAATGATTTGTTTGAGAAGGTCTTTTTATAAGCAACGCAACAAACTTAGATTAAATTTTTTTAAAAACTACTTATAAATTATAATAATAATAATATACACCACTGATTTAAAAGTCTAAGTAAATTTATGATAACTTTTATGAACTTATAGAATTTCTCTCTTTTAATGTTTTGTTTAGTTTAGTTTGATACAAGTTATTTATGTTATCAAGTGATTGTGATACTATTATTCTCAACAATTTTTATAATTAATAATTTCTTATGCATGTCAAATTTTATTGTAAAATTTTGTGGGTTAATTATTGTTAACATCTACCTAGATATTAATATTATGGCTTGTCGCTATTAAGATATAATTTAAGATTAAAATAATTTATTTATCACACAAAATATATATAATCTATTTTTCTGTGCATCGCACGGGTTACCGCTAATATATATATACATAATTGAAGTGAAGATGAGATGGTATAATGTGAAAGGAAAAAACTCATCTCAACAACCCCACCTTCCTTATTGGGGGTCTTTATCGGTATGGAGAAAGTAGGGTGGAGCTCCTTACTTTGGCGGATCTAAAAATAAAATATTGGATTTTGTTAATACATTTCTTTTATGATACATGTTATATTCTAAAAGAATTTATATTTTGTATTAAAATATGTACCATAAAAAAATACATAACCTTTTTAAGTCATCTTAATATGTCCGGAAATTTTACATTCATTTTTTTGTTATGATTTTTGTGTTTTTTTTTTTAAATTTATTGTGATATTGATTATGATATTATTTAATTAAAATACAAAAGTTCTTTAGTTATACTTTAAGTAGTATTTAGTTATAATTTTTTTAATTTTTTTTTATTATATATATATTTATGACTTCTATAAAATTTGTTATGACAATTGTAATAATCAAATCTAACAATTATCATAACTTATATATGACGAATAATCCTATATGCACTAATTAGTGTACACACTAGTGTACTAAAAGATGATGTGGCATAATTTTAAAAGATGATGTGGTAATTTGTTTGGAGTTCCTAGCATAACTCTTTGTAATTTGTATAATAAATAGAGTTATTAATGATATCATAACACTAGTTGGTACATTAGTGTATACAGTAATTGGTACATGTAGCACCACCGATATATGATACATATCATTCTGAGAGTGTGTACCATAGCCTTACCCTAATATGTATGCACTAAAATCTTGTTTATTTGGATCAACTTTGAATTTTGTTAATACATTCTTTTTAAGATACATGTTATATTCTAAAAAAATTATACATTTTAGGCTCCGTTTAGGAAGAAAAAAGCCAGGTTTTTTTGGCTAAAATAGCCACAAAAAACAAAATAGGCTATTTTAACCACAAAAAACAAAACATCAAATTCAACCCATAATCGTTACAATCCTCTCTCACAAAAAAAACTAAAAAAACCAAAAAGTCCTTCCCAAACTAGGCTAAAATAGTCAAAAAATCAATCCACTTCTCAAACGGAGGCTTATTATTATTATTATTATTTTTATTTTTTATGATCGAGTGTTCAGGCCAATTTATGCACATCTCGATTAATCCCAAAACCTATGCAAAGCACTCCCTCTACGTGGATCAAAAAAATATCGAGCTGAACTCGTAGGCGTGATTTCAAAAAATTGATAGCACCTTATCGTAGTTGTATTATAAACAAATATATAACTTCTAAAGTCTATATATATATTCTAAATTTAGGTTTGTTTGAATAGATTGAATTAGATGAGATTGACATATCTAGGAGAATTAGATTTATCAATATATTGTGTATCATATTCTAGCTTAATTTGGGAAGTTAGTAAAAATTGATTTTTTGACTTTTTGACTTTTTTGAGAATATTTTTTGTAACTTTTTTTTTGAAGAACTTGATAAAAAGTTTACTTTTTATCAAGTTTCTAATATATTTTTTGGGAAGGATTTTTTGGCTTTTTAGCTTTTTTGAATTTTTTTGTGAGAGAAGAATGTAATGATTATGGGTTGAATGTAATGTTTTGTTTGTTATGGCTAAAATAGCCTATTTTATTTTTTGTGGCTAAAATAGCCAAAAAAAACCCAAACCATAGCTTCCCAAACGAAGCCTTAGATTGGTGTGAGACTATTAAGAGTGAATAATAAAATCTTATCAATTTTAAAATTTAATTAATTAATCCAAATTTTTCCTTAATACTTTCCTTTTGTATCCCACACTTTTTTAAAGATTCAATCATCTCTCATATTAAAGCCAATCTTAATTTTCTTAATTAAAATATTAAATTATTAATATGATAATTTAACCAACTTGGCGTAATGATAAACTATTACTTTTTAGCTGTCGAAGAAACACGTGCGACGTCAGAGTGGGGAAAGCCCTTTGGAGATTTGATTTTTGAGTGATGCTAAGAATTTTGTATTCATATGAAAAGTTTAATAAAAAATTTAGTAGATGATTTGAAATTCATAATATTTTCTTTATTTTTTTATTTGATTTATAATTTTAAGAGTAATGTTATAGATATCAAATTTTTTATTAAATAAATAACTAAATATTTTATATAGATATAAGGTCCACAAAATATGAGATCCCTACAT